CCTTACCTATCCTGGTCATTAAATTAAAAATTCTGTATTCCCACTTATAACATATATACTAGATCGATTCCATATTACCGACACGGAATTTTAGAGATTGCCCTGTGTTACGACCGAAACTTTGATCACGCCACAAACGCCAGCCATATATTACATCATACTGTGCATTTTCGAAATTATTTAAAATACGTAATTTGAAATTTTGTTTTTATTTTCTAAAAGAATAAGAATAATAATAATGCAAAGATTTAAAAGGACTATTATTAACAAAAGTGGAGAAAAAAAAAAAAGAAAATTAGAATTATATCTTCCCGATTATTTAAGAGATTCTTCATTAGATAAATATAATAGAATAGAAGAAAATCAGATTCCAATACCTACTTGTTGGAATGTAAATGATTGTTCTAAAGGTTTGAAACTTAATGATGATCTACTTACGGTTGGATATGTTGGACATATTGGTAAATAGTTTAAAAAAAAAAACAATGAAACATAATATATAAATAAATATATATATGATTAGAAAAACTAAGAATTTTTTGCTCTCATCAAAAAAAAGGAAATGGTCGGGCAGCAGCAATTAGATCAAATTATTGTATCTCAAAGGAAACAGGAATTTATTATTTTGAGATTGACATTTTAGAAGGTGGAGAAGGAAAGTACGTTTTTCAAAAAAAAAAATTATCTTTTATACATAAATTGAAATTTCGAGTTATTTTTTATAAAATAATAATATCGATATTTCTTATATAGTTTAATATCAATTGGTGTTGCAACGCCGCACTTTAGTCTTAGAAGACATGTAGGTCGGTACTAGTAAAAAAATATATATATATATATAGATTTTTTAAAAATTTATTACACAAATCTTTCATTAATAGGATGGGATCCAGGTTCAATAGGCTATCATGGTGATGATGGTCTTAAATTTCTTGAACGTGGGTATGGACTCGAATATGGACCAACTTATTCAACAGGAGATACGATCGGTTGTTGCGTAAATTTTTTTTCTGATAAAGTGTTTTTTACTAAAAATGGTATCAATTTAGGTATTCTAAACATTTATTAAAAGATTTTTATTTTTTTTATTTTATTTTTTGAGAACGAAATATTATATCTTTTTTTTTTTATAAAACAAATTAGGATACGCCAGCTCATCATATAATCTTGAAAGATTATACCCAGCTGTTGGAATGAGATGTAAGAATGCTCGGGTGGAAGCAAATTTTGGAAATAGGCCTTTCAAATTTGATATCAAACTATATGCAAAGGTTTTTATTTCTTTTAAGTCTTATTGTTTACAAAGTTAAAAATTATGTTTTAATAATGTTTTTTTTTTCAATAGACTCTAATTTACTAATTTACCCCATCACTTCTAATTGGCTGTATTAATTATTCACTTAGCGGAGTATTTATTTTATTATCAATTTTTTTCTATTCCGATAGTAAAGTGGTGGAGGAAATTAGGGCACTCAATAAACTCTTACAAAACTTAGTCCTTTAGAGACTATTACAATTAGTAGTCCTTTAGATCAAATTTAAATTTTTTTTTTTTTTATTTAACGCAAATAATTTGCAAGATATTTGTTTTTTTTTTTATATTATTAAAAATATAAATATCATTAAAAAATTAACTACTTACACAAACTTTCAAAGTATTACATTTACATCTAATAAGTACAGTACCAAAACATAAGATTTTTATACATATACTTGGCTAATTAACGAAATAATTTTTTATATAACAGATAATTTTAAAATTTTCAAAAATTCAACTTTCATCGTAATCATCATAATTATCGTAATCATCATCATAATTATTATCGTAATCATCATCATAATTATTATCATCAATTTCATCATCATCATAATCGATATCGTAATTTCTTACAGAATATTGAATTTTACTACTATGTTTCCTTTTATCTATTTTCGTAGATTTAGGTTGTTTTGTCCGTTTTCCACCAGGTCCACGATTCACTTTTAATCTA